GAAAAAATAAGTTTTCTATTTTTCAAAGAAATCACCCATTTGTACCACCAATAGTGCTGAATTTGCAGATGAAATTTTGAGTTATGTTGTAAGACAAGAAAAATAAATGAATGAATGAATGAATACATATATATGTATATATATATGTATATATATATACATATATATGTATATATATGTATATATATATATAAAATGAGTGTATATGTAAATGAAAATTTCTTTTCCAAGTTACAGGAAAATCCAATTAGTCTTCTCTAAGCAGAAAAAAAGAAAGGAAGGAAGGAGTGAGGGAAGGAGAGAGAAAGTGAAGGAAATAAGGGGATAGGGAGAAAGAGAGAGAAAGGAAGAAAGGAAGAAAAGAAGAAAGGAAAGAAGGAAGGAAGGAAGGAAGGAAGGAAGGAAGGAAGGAAGGAAGGAAGGAAGGAAGGAAGGAAGGAAGGAGGAAGAGAAGAAAGAAAGAAGAAGAAAGAAAGAAAGAAAGAAAGAAAGAAAGAAAGAGAGAGAGAGAGAGAAAGAAAGAAAGAAAGAAAGAAAGAAAGAAAGAAAGAAAGAAAGAAAGAAAGAAAGAAAGAAAGAAAGAAAGAAAGAAAGAAAGAAAGAAAGAAAGAAAGAAATTCAACTGGATGAAGTGTCATTCATTTTCCTCCTTGATGTTAACAATATTGTGATCACTGGACTCCCTCTAGTGGGTTATATTAGTAATTGATTTGTTTTGTTTTGTTTTGTCTGTTTAAAAAAAAGCTCTGAATGCTTGTTTTTTTACTTTAACATCATAAATCAGGACTTAAGTAGTAGAAAAACAAAACTTGTATTCTTCTTCCTACTCTGCGCCTGTTTCTTCATCCGTAAAATAAAAGGGTTGGACCTCTAAGGTCCCTTCCTGCTCTAAGTCTTGATTCTAGAATCATACAAAACTTCAATTAAAAATTGGTACTAGGGCGCAGCCAGGTGGCGCAGTGGATAGAGCACCAGCCCTGAAGTCAGGAGGACCTGAGTTCAAATTTTACCTCAGACCCAACACTTGACACTTACTAGCTGTGTGACCTTGGGCAAGTCACTTAACCCCAATTGCCTAAAAGCCAAAAAAAATTGGTACTAGATGTTAGCTTAAAAGTAGTTGAAGGACAAATATGAATGTACATTTACTTGGCATATTTACCAGAAAAAAGCAGCATTGGCCAAAAATTAAGAAAAAGAAAAAAAATTCAAGAAAGCCAAGAACTGTTAAAAGTTTAATGTAAGGGTAGGGCCTGGTTCTGTGATTTCACTGGCATAAAGAACACCTTTCCATGTGAAGAAAGTCCCTCTACTAAAACCAGTGGGCACCTTCTCTGAAATCAATAGTTTTAGAGAGTTTTCTAGGTCATTTAAAAGTCAATTTGCTTGCCTGGGGTCACACAGCCAATGTTTGTCAGAAGTGGGACTTGAACCTTGGCCTTCCTGGCTTTGTTAGATATATTGGGTGTTTTCAATGCAAACAGAAAAAAAACTCTAAATTCACCACAAATTTTAAAATTCATACCAGCCCTACTGCTGAGGTCTAGAGGTTTAGGGTGCTGGGACCCCAAAATTACAACACGCAGGTCCTTCCCAAATGAATTCGACCCAAGCCTTCTTTCAGCCAGAGACAATGTTTATTAAAGATCTGCCATATTAGCCAGACTCTTAAGGAATCTGAGTATCTGTGAGCTATTGGCTAGATTGTAAATATCTGAACTTTTGGCAAGACTCTTAACAATCTGAGCACCTTAATGGAGACAAGATGGACCCTTATATACAGAAAGACAGTGAGAGAAATCTAGGGATCCAAGGGAGTACAGATAGGATTAAGGGGAGGAAGTGGCCTGGGGGCCACAGGGAGGTGAAACAATGGAGGGCTAGGATAAAATAAGGGTAAAGAGAACTGGGAGATTGAGCATAGGCCATAGCAAAAGGCCAGTTGACAGAATTTTAGCCTCAGGTGAAATCCAAAGATTTTGCCATGTGGGAAAGTCCAGGGTTTTTCCTTTCTGGGGTCCAGATCTCAACCCCATCACCACCATACAGTGGCTTAAGAAAAATCACTGCATATGTAAAATCAGTTAACATATCTTGCCTCTTCTGTTCCTGGTGGGTCTGCCTGCCTCTGTCTACAAGATCCATCCCCACTCCAATCCACCCTCCATTCAGCCACCAAAATGATTTTCCTAAAGCAAAAATTCAATCACGTCAGTCCCTCTACTCAGTAAACTCCAGTGGCTTCCAATTGCCTCATGGAGCAAAGAAAGACCTTTACAACCTACCCATTTTCTACCTTTCCAATATTTTTACACCTTACTTCCTAACACATACTCTGAGATCCACTGAAACTTGCCTCAATAAGACACCCCATCTCTCAGCTCTGGCCATTTTCTCTGTCTCATAGGTTTAGAATGTTCTCCCTCCTCTGCTCTAACTACTGACCTCCCTGGTTTCCTTAAAGTCCCAACTAAAACCCCACCTTCTATACAGGAAGCCTTCTCCAACCGTTCTTAATTCCAGTGCCTTCCTTCTCTTAATTATTTCCTATCTATCATATGTATATATATATATATATATATATATATATTATATATATATATATATATATATATATAGTTTGCTTCATATACATTTGTTTGCTTGTTGTCTGCCCCATTAGATTGTGAGCTCCTTGTCTGTCTTTTGCCTCTTTTTGTATCCCCAGCAGGTAGCACAATGCCTGACTTGTAGTAGGTGATTAATAAATGTTTGATTGATTGACTGATTGGTAGCACAGCTGGTGGTGCAGGAGATAAAGCACTCAGTCTAGAGTCAATAACCTCAGACATTAATTAGTTGTGTGACCCTGGGTGAGTCACTTAATCTGTTTGTCTCAGTTTCCTCAATTGTAAAATGGAGATAATAATAGCATCTACTTTGTAGGGTTGGGGAGGATCAAATAACTTAACATTTTTATTTTTTTTAAAGCATTTAGCACAGCGCCTGTGCTATATAAATACTTATAGGTGCTATATAAATACTTATTCTATTCTCCTCTCCTTCCCCTTTTCTGTTTGGATTGCTAGGCATCTGGGTGTTGGAAGGGATAAGTGACAAGGAGTACTCTGAGAATCTCTATTACAAGTAGATGTTCACATTCTCACAGTCTAATAACATGGGGGCATTATGAGTTAAAAAAACAATTATGGATACAAGTAGGTCAGAAGAAATGGAGAAAAAAATAAAATCTGACACACCTAATGTTTTCAAACACTGCTTGTGCTGCACCGAGAAATCAGCGAGCGAGACCCAGACGCAATTTAAAATGTGGATGGCTGCCAGGGGTATGCACACCCAAATCAAGCAGCCCCCATCAGGGTTCGAGCCAGGGTTTATATGGAAAAGAATATGGGAAAGAAATGCCAGGAACACTGATGAGGTAATCCAAAGGTGCAGGTGTCTTTGGGGGCTATGGATGGGTAAGTACAGGGAGTATACCGGACAGAGAGGGGGATGGATCTTTGGAGTCTGGCAGGAGGAAGAGTTCTTGGGCTGGTCAAGGACACCCCTCTCCCTCTGTCTTGATGAGAGAATGCTCTGCAACAAAGGAAAGCTTTCTCACAACTAAGGAATTGGGAGGCTTCCAGAGACATGATCTGAGGGCTGGGGCCTGAGCAGCCAGATAAGGGTCGTGCTGAGGCCCATGCATGAATAACTGCTAGGCACAGTGTCCTTGGGCTGGGGAGTGGTTGTCAGAGACAGTGTTTCTGAGACTAGGGAGACATCTGGGGCACAAGTATAAGCACAAGCACCTGAGCACCCCATCATTACAGGCCAGAGATCACACAAAGTAGACCATGTGTGCTGGTCTCTGGTATAAACATAATTATCTAAAGCAATTGTATTTCGAGCTTTCTTATCCATTTGTATTGGAGGTACGGCTATGCTGAGCTATGCAAGAGTACATTTCACTGTTGTTTAGATTTAGGAGAAAAGAGGTCTGGGGCAAGATTAAGCACCAACTTTTGCTTTCCATGGCTTAAAGGGCCCTACTACCTAAATGGCAAAATAATATTCTGCATTACATTTGCAAACTGAATGAATTCATGATGATCAATTCCATCCACTTTAAAAATGCCAAACTAGAAAACAACCTTGGCTATACTTGTTCATACATTTCTCCACCTTACAGGGTTTTCCTTCACTAATATTAATAATAACATTAATTTTTTAATAACAGCACCTTAAGGTCTATAAAGCACATTACATATATTATCTCATTTGATCTTCAAAACAACCCTGTAGGGTAGCTGCTATTATGGTCCACATTTTACAAATGAGAAAAGTAAGTACTAGGGAGGTGCTATAATTTCACCCATGGTCACAAAACTAAAGTTGTCTGTGGCAGATTTAGAACTCAGGCCTTTGAGGCTCCCGGACCAGGACTCTCTTTATGGCTCCACATCAATGGCTTAGGTGTATGTACTATATGAGCTAGTTACAACCAAGCCTGAGGTAGCTGAGGCACTTCCCTTTGTTCGCATAATTGTAAGGAATTTTACCTGAACAACTTGGAGTTCAGGTTTTGGTTTTTTGGTTTTTTTGTTGAGGCAATAGGGTTAAGTGACTTGCCCACAGTCACACAGCTAGTATCAAGTGTCTGAGGCCGCATTTGAATTCAGGTCCTCCTGACTCCAAGGCCAGAGCTTTATCTACTGTGCCACCTCACTGCCCAGGGTTTTAAAAAGTCCTCCTGATTACTATTATCTGTGCTAATCTCTGCTTCCAAATCTCAACAGATACCTGCTAAATTCCCAAGACAACTACTCATTCACAATTACCCTTTAATTTCTTTGAAGATAATATCGGGCAGTCATTTTAAACAAATGCTAATCATTTGTGGAGTTAATTTTAGCAAGTGCATTTTAAAGGTGTGGTACAAGACATTAGATAAAGTTTTCAGGAAGAAAATATAACCTAGGAACACCACCTTCTATTTTTAAAATTCCTTTCTACAGTTATACATTTTCAGGATGATCTATGTAGAGGATATCTCCGGACAGACAGGAAATTTTTCTCAATGTGTGACACACTGCAGTTTTCCAGAGTGGTGGCAGGAGGCCTTCTATAACCTCTTGACCTTTAGCTGCCTCTTCATCGTTCCTCTTCTCATCATGCTGGTGTGCAATGCTAAAATCATCTTCACCTTGACACAGTTCCTTCATCAGGATCCCCATGGTATGTACTCTACAATTTTTCTGTATCTTAAATACACAGTTGTTGAACAGGTGTGATTACTGTTGCTGACGAAATCCTGTCCAACTCCATCAGAGACAAACAAAGCCTGCCTCACCTCTGTGTGTTGGTTATTCCAGGATTTTTTTCCAGCCATTGTTATTTACTCCTCCAGGACTCCCATTTCCCTGCTAAAGGGGCTGTCTCTTTCTGACTGAGATATAACATCAGTCACTCAATTTGCACAGCCTTCTCTCACTTAAATCCAATTCACTTGCATGTCACGGCATCACCTCCCTGATGTCATGGTCCTCTTTCAGAATGAAGGACAAACAACAACAACAACAACAACAAGGTTAAAAATTACCTTCTGATCAGGATATTTGCACCCAAGTTTGACTGTGAAGTCTCCATTCCTGGAAAATTTTTACAAATTGGATAGATTTTTGGAAATAAAATATTACCTATAGTCGTATATTCAATAGAATCACTGGTGGAAAACTCTCCTATTTCACATTCAAAATTCTACAACTCAACAACATACGTTCTGCGACTTATACATGACAGAAAAATATTATTGAATATATAATGTGTCTACTATCTATGCAAACCCTACAATGATGGTTATTCCTCTGAAAGTTAATATGTTAAAATATTTGTTAATATATGAATAACTGTCCATAAGGCACCAAGAAGACATTTTGCTGAACAGTGAAATGATACATAGTTATCCTTGGTAATACTTTAACAGAAGATTGTATTTCAAGGGAGTGTTAGACAAACTTTAAAAGAAGATCGTGTTACAAGAAGTGATAGAAAGACTGAACTACTCATTCTCTACAGAAAATATTTTCAAAAAGTATTTTACTTCAGTGTTTGGAAGCTCATGCCACAAGATACTTAGGGAAACTCCCCCCTCCAACACACATACACACACACACACACACAATATCAAATGAAATTTGATCTTCCAAGACGGTAAAAGTACAAAAATGTATTTTTAATCAAATCTTCTTACTACACTGTCCCACTCTTCCATCATGCTGGTCTGCAATACTAGAATCATTTTCACCTTATCACAGGTCCTTTATTAGGAATGAGTTCTTCCTTTCATAGTTTCAGTACCATAGAGGCTAAGAAATGAAAGAGTAAAATGAACAAGGAGATGGGTTTGTCACCTGTTTGAACACAGGAACTGAAAATGAAGAGATGGAGCATTGCAGAGGAAGTTAGAAGCCAGTAGAGAGGTAGGGGACATTAAGCAATTATTAACAAGATAGATCCTAAATTCCTGGGTCTGGCTTTTTGTTGTAAGATTAGATCTCTATGCTGAATCAGATGTTCTTTCCCCCTTTTGCCTCCTTCATATATTTTTATTTCTTATAGGAAAAAGAAATAGCTTTGTTTATAGTCCATAACTCAAGACAAAAAAGGCTGTCTCACATCTTTCACTCATCTCTTCAAAAAGTGCATATGGACATCCATAAAGTCAAAAACAATGTGTCCTCTTCCTTAAAGTGTCATGTAGGTTTTTCCATGACTTCTAGACTCAATGCTATCTTAGAATGTCCTCAAAAGGTTCTGTCAATGATTAGAAATAGGATAAATTTCTCAGGTCTTTCAAATATCAGGGGAAGAGTAAGGTGGGGAAGCTATTTTCTTCATATTTTTATTACTTACACTTCAGTGAGACATAAAACATAATAAACTGATTAAAACCTGACAAAAAAGATGGCCTATCTTAATAGACCTATTCAGAAATCAGTTTTACAAGAATAAAAATGCTGATTCATTAAAAGAATGTATTCTCTGCCAATTGCTTCTTTTCACCAAGTATAGATGAGTAAGAAATTGTGAAAAAGATGTTTTCTTGAGTACAGAAATTATTTTCCTTGAAATTTTTAGTATTGAGTTATTGTTCTAAGATCATAAAATTAGGCCCATGTTACAAATGGAAATATGTTTTCTATCATGGAAATTCAAGAGCATTTCAAAGCTGTAGGTTGATTCCTTTAAGAATTAAGCCCTAAACTTAACAAAGGCAGTCTGACTTTGTTAAAACAGGCCAAATAGTTAAGGCTATGCTGACTTTAAAAGGCATGTCACCAAAAAAAGGAAAGTATTCATTGTAAAGAAACTAATCAGTGTGGCCAAACACAAAATAAATTTGGAAAAGATCACAAATTTTAAGAGTACTGAAAATTTAATCTTTTCCACATTTTATCTGACATTAGGAAAACTGAGACAAAAAGATGTTTTTCAAAAAAGGAGTATTATTGTTATTATTTAAGACAGGCTGATAGCAACTTGGAAAGGTTTGGGGTTTTTTTTGAGGGGGGATTAACTGTTGTTTTAGATTGTATCCTACTTCTTTTTGAGTTTTCTGATATTAATGGAAATGAAATACTCATTCCCTCCCCTTTTTTTTTTTAACAGAGCTGCAACTGAATCGATCAAAGAACAATATCCCAAGAGCACGTTTGAGGACACTAAAGATGACTGTAGCTTTTGCCACTTTATTTACTGTCTGCTGGACTCCCTACTATGTTCTCGGAATCTGGTATTGGTTTGATCCAGAAATGCTAAACAGGGTATCTGATCCCGGTAAATCACTTCTTCTTTCTCTTTGGTTTATTAAATCCATGCTTTGATCCACTTATATACGGATATTTCTCTCTCTAATTTTGTTTATCTATATAAGAAGACACAGAGAAAAGAAAGAAGCAATTAGCCATGATAAATAAGAATAACAAACTTTAGTAATACAGCTGTTTACATATTAACATAGTTCACAAACCATTCATCCCTCTCTTTTCCTTCTAGAAGGCTGTCAGAGTTCCAATTAGAAGAAACTCTCAGTTCTACATATCCTAGCCTGATTCTTATTATTCTCCTAGTATATACAACAGAAAGATTTACAATTGCCAGAGAAGGGAAAACTCAATAAAGTTTTGGGGGGTTTTTTTCTGCCTTAGTTCTCTGTGCATGAAATAGTTCAAAATTTAATTTTAGGCTTAAGAAAAGTGGAACTTTAGAGAGTTACAAACAATTAACTATGCAGGTTTTTGTTTTTTTAATCCAAATGAGATGCTTTTTTCACAAAATTGTCAAATTTCTAAGTTTCAGTTCTGATATTTAGTACTTCGATTAAGAAAAAGGAATGACTATTTCCAGCCATTCAGCAGAAATAAATGGCAGTAGGGTTTCACAGGAATACAAATCCTGACCTGTTAGAAGAGGGTAAGGGAGAAAAGAAAATAAGCATTTATATATCATCTACTATGTGTCAGGCACTGTGTTAAGAGCATTTTGCAAATATTATCTATCCCATTTGATCCTCTGTAAAGTGTTTTATTCCTCTAATTACAATGAGAAACAATTATCACGTTTTAGGCTATATTCTCTTCTTCTGGAAGTATCTTGCCAGTAATAGAGTCAATAGGATCCATTCACACCCTAACCCTAACCCTATTTTATTGGTGAAATCAAACTATCAATAGATACCACATGATGCCAATGGATATCACAACTCTATTTCTTTTTTTCCTTTGAGTACAAGAAACTTCTGTCTTTGGGCAAAAGATAAAGTGTTCTATACCTTCCTGGCCTATGAAAGTTATACAAAGGTCTCTTAATTTCCATCAATGACATGTCACAGGATATAATAAAATCATCTTACCTTTCTAAAGAGCTGTGAACTTACCTTAACTGAAAATAAAACATTTCTTGGATTATATAATCTATTAGAGCTATCTGCAATAATCAATAGGATCCAAGAATAGTATGTCATTTGGATGATACTTTATTTTTTATGCATTACTTAAACCATATCCTTCCAATATTACTGGTTTTAACTTCACTATCTTAATAAAACTAAGAAAGAAGCCTACTTATATAATGTAATAGCAAATACTTTATAGGCCAATATCTAAAAGATCTCATCACAATAGAGGGAATAACTACAAGGCAAAAAGATGGTTTGATATTCTAAAACTAATTTCCAAGGGGAGAGAAATAGTATATTCTGCAGAGTCTATAATGTTCAAAGTCCTTAACTAATAATCTGTTGAGTATTGCCTTGATTATTATACTTCATATGTATTTAAGATCAAGTACACAAAGGAACAAGTTACCCACAGTTGAAAAAGCAAATGGAAAGAGGCGTATTTAATGAGCAGAAGAATGCTCTACAAAAGACTAAAAAACATCAAAGACAGACCATTATTTTAATGAATTTTTTTAACTACTAAAAAAAAGAAACCTTTCAAATTCATTTGGGGCACTATCCAGAACAATAAGTGTATTAGTTTAACAAGAATGCTAATATTCCCAAAGCATGTGGTGTTATAGGAAGTAAATTGCTAACTGTGATCAGGTCTTACAGACACATGAAGCCTCCTGGTTTCCCTTCTCTAACCTCTACCCCTTTGCAATGTCTTTTCTTGCTTTGCCATGTCAGTCTCCAACTCTGCCTATTTCTGTCACCAATGGAGTAAAGTATTTCTACCCACTTCTTCATTGTATTTCTAAACAAATCCACTTGCTCTGGATACCTCCAAGTAACCAAAATAATGGCTGGTTCTAAATTGCTATGGTTAAGTCAGATCAGAACTGAAAATTGGAGTTTCTCAAAATTCTTAACAATAACATTTTTTGGTAATTTTTAAATCTTAAATAAAAAATGAGTAAAGAAAAAAAAACATTGTCATGTACACAGCAAACCATGAGAGATGATTCAGCATAAAATAATAAATTTCCTTTTCAAGAAAACTTATGTAATAAACACTACACATTGTTTTCAAAGCTGCCTGGCTTTTCTTTGCTTTCTTGTTTGTTTTCTTTTGTTCTCTGCTGTGTACCTTTTACTTTATTTTTTCTCTCACTCCCCTCTGCCACCCTAAAAAAGGCTACAATTAAGCATAGATATAGATATATACAGATATCTATAAATATATACATATACACATATATGTAAGACTGTACTATGCTTATTTCCTCCTATCATCTGTTTCTCTGAAGGTGGATAGCATCTTCCTTCATAAATCCAAGTCTTTCCATGTGTTTTCTAAATCAATCAGCTCATCATTTCCTACACCCAGAAATATTCCAACCCAATCACATCCTACCTGAGAGACTATGAAAGTTTTTTTCCTAATTTTCTGCATTCCTTCTGTTCTTGCCTACATAGGTTTTATATATACAAAAAAAAATTTAATTGAAAATAATTGAAAATATCCTTTTTATACTTCAACAATGCTCTCACCTTATCATATAGTTTGAGGTCTGATATTGCTGAATCTATTTCCTTTATATCTTTTTTCCCTGGTTTCTTGAAGTTCCTGACCTTTTGTTCTTCCAAATTAACTTTATTATTTTTCTAACTCAGTAAAATAATTCTTAGTAATTTAACTAGCATGACATTGAATAAATAGATTAGATAGGTACAATTGTCAATTTTTGAAATTATATTTGCTTTACTTACCCATGAACAACAAATATTACTTCAATTATTTAGATCTGAGTTTATTTGTATAAAAAGTGTTTTATGTTTATGTTCATATGGTTCCTGTGTCTGTTTTGGCAGGTATACACTCAGGTATCTTATGCTGTCTAGGTATTTTAAATGGTCTAAAATAAGATTGAATAATATTGCTGACACATAATGTAGTTTCTCTATTTTTCACTTTTGATTAAATCTATTTTAACTTTAACTTTGAGATCACGATTACTATCCCTGTTTTATTTTTAACATACTAAATTCTACTCCAGCCCTTTATCTTTATCTCTCATTTTCATTGAGTTTCCTAAAAATAACATATTGTTGAATTTAAATTTTCAATCTGCTATCCATTTCCATTTTACAGGCAAATTCCTCTCATTCACATTCTAAACCACAATTACTTGTTATATATTTTCCTCCTTCCTATTCTTCCTCACTATCCTTCTCACCCTATTTACCCTATCTGTCCGCACTCCTCTGCTTTATTTCTACCAACTACCTTTCCTTCCTATTCCTTAACCAACCCCACTTCTCAGTCCCTCCTTAACCTCCCCTCCCCACCCCATCCCCTTGTCTTCTTATTTCTTTCTGAATTTAGAAGCCTTTTATACCTTTCTAGATATGTGTGAGAGTAGGGACCACCTACCCATCCTCCCCCTATCAGTTTCTTCTGTATCAATTTTTTTTCTTTTTATGCCTTATTTATATGAGGTAATTACTCCTTTTTATCTCTCCCTACAGTTTTATTTTTTTTTAGAATCCTCCCATCATACTCAGCTCAGCCCATACCTTTCTTTCAAACTACCCAAATAATGATAACAATCATAAGAGTACTGCTAAAATTTTCACATATACAAAGTAAACAATTTGACTTTACTGAGTCCCTTATAATTGGTCTTTAATGTTTACCTTATATTTTTCCTGGATATTTTATGTCAAATTTTCCCTAATGTTTCAGGAGTTTTGTCACAAAAACCTAAAAGTATTTGAATTCATTGTGTCCATTTTTTTTTCACTCAGAATTATATTTAACTTTGCTGAGTAAGTTACCATTGGTTGTAACCCCAGCTCTTTTTGCTCTACGGAATATACTATTCCAAGACCTACAGTCTTTCAATGTAGTAGCTAATAGGTCTTGTGTAATCCATGATACTTAATTTTTTTTCCTTGTTTCCAATATTTTCTCCTTAACCCAGGAGCTTTGAAATTTGGCTATGATATTCCTGTAAGTTTTCCTCCTGAAATCTCTTTCAGGTAGTGATTGCTGGTTTTTTCCTATTTCTACTTTGCCTTCTTGTTCTAGAACTTCAGGGCAATTTTCCTTGATAATTTCTTGCAATAGTGTAATTTTTTTATTGTAATTTTCAGGTAGTCTAACTATTCTTATGTTATTTCTCCTCAATATGTTCTCCATATCATTTTTTTTCTGATGAGATTTATTTCTCTTCTATTTTTTCATTCTTTCAATTTTGTTTTATGATTTCTTGGTGTCCTGGAACTTCATTAGTTTCCCCTTGCCCAAATCTAGTTTTCAAGGAATTATTTTCTTCTTTAAGTTTTTTATTTTCTATTTGCAGTTGGTTGACTTTCTTTTCATAATTTTCTTGATTTTCTTCGATTACTCTTTTTTTTCTAATTTTTCCTCAATCTCTCTTCTTTCATTTTAAAAGTCCTTTTTAAGCTCTTCCAAGAATTCTTTTTGTGCTTGGGGCCATTTGACATTTCTCACTGAATTTTCTCCAGAGGTCTACTGTACCTAACTTTTCTAAGCTGCTATTCAACTCCTTAACTTCTTTCTTATTTATTTTGTGGTTAGATTTATCTAGTTCAGAGAGGGGGAGGTTGAGGTCCCCCAGTAGTATAGTTTTGCTGTCTATTTCTTCCTGTACCTTCCTGAACTTCTCCTCTAAGAATCTGAATGCTATACCACTTAGTGCATATATATTTAATAAATGACATTACTTCATTGTCTTTGGTGCCTTTTAGCAGGATGTAGTTTCCTGCCTTATCTCTTTTGATTAGATCTATTTTTGCTTTTGCTTTGTCTGAGATCAGGATTGCTACCCCTGCTCTTTTTACTTCAGCTGAAGCATAATATAATCTACTCCAGCCTTTTACCTTTACCATGTGTGTGTCCCTCCATTTCAAATGTGTTTCCTGTAAACAATATATTATAGGATTATGATTTTTAATTCATTCTCC